CACACACACACACACACACACACACACACACACCACACACACCCTAAATCCTCCATCCACAAATATTCTATCCCTCCCCCTCCCCCCACACCACCCCTCTGTCCACCCTCTTCCTCCCCTCCCCTCCTCCTCACCCCTGCCTGCCCAGGGCCTTCCCTCCCAGGGGCCCCTAGCTTGTTCTGACCAAATCTGCAGGGGTCCTATTTGTCAGGCCAGGGAGAGGATGCAGGGCATGGAACACAAAGAGGCTGCTAACACATTGGATGTCCACAGAGGACCAGCCAGCAGGGCTCTCTGAACCAGGTATACTGAGGGCAAGAACAAAGTTCTCCCATGCTCTAGCCTGCTGCCTTCCCCTGTCCTCTTCCCAACTCCCTCTCCCTACATTGCCATCTTTTGTCTTTCTATGTTGGTTCATCTGCATCTTCAACTTGATTGGCTTGAGAGATGCCTAGGAGATGGGTAAAGCCCACCTATGGGTGTCTGGAGGACAGTTCCAGGAGTGATTGGCATGAGAACAGCCACTGAGGAGGGCCCATCCTCCCAGCTTGCTAATAGGCTGGGGACCTCCATGGAACAAAGATGGAAGGAGGAGGCAGCCAGCCAGCCAGCACCCAGAAAACACTACCATCACTGGTTGGTATCAGACTCATCATCTTCAGATTTTTGGGGGGTGGGGGTTCCGGTTGTGGTGCCTGAACTCTGGGCCTGGGTGCTGTCCCTCAGCTCTTCAGCTCAAGGCTAGAGCTCTACCATTTGAGCCAGAGCACCACTTCTGGCTTTTTTCTTTTTGCTTATGTGGTGCTTAGGAATCGAACCCAGGGCCTCATGCATGCAAGGCAAGCGCTCTACCACTGACCCACCTTCCCAGCCCTCATCCTCAGATTTCAAGGTAGACTCACTGCAGACTCTCAAGGGAGCCTTCCATCCCAGCCTGGGGCTACAACCCTGGTCCCTCAAGTCCTGGGGCTTGGGGCTTCTGGGACTGTGCAGCTATTGGGTCCTGGCACTCGGAGTACAGACAGTCACTGTGGACTCAGTTCTGTAAACCAAACTAATAACCCCTCTGAAAATTACATCTACACACACACACACATATATAGTTATTATATACATTACACACACAGACATAGACTCACATGTATATTCGGCTAATTCTTTTTTTTTTTTTTAATTTAGTGGTGGGGCTTGAACTCTGGGCCTCGGCCCTGTCCCTCAGCTCTTCCGTTTAAGACTAGCATTTTACCACTTGAGCCACAGCGCCACTTGCGGTTTTCTGGTGATTAATTGGAGATTAGAATCTCTCAGACTTTCCTGCTCGGCCTGGCTTTGATCCGTGATCCTCAGATCTCAGCCTCCTAAGTAGCTAGGATTATAGGCATGAGCCACCAGCACATACCTTCTGCTGATTCTTTTGTTGTTGTTGTTGTTGTCGTCGTCGTCGTCATTGGTCGTGGGGCTTGAACTCTAAGCCTGGGCACTGTCCGTCAGCTCTTCAGCTCAAGGCAAGCACTCTACCACTTGAGCCACAGTGCCACTTCCAGTTTTCTGGTGGTTTGTTGGAGAGAAGAGTCTCATTGTCTTTCCTGCCCAGGCTGGCTTTGAACCTCGATCCTCAGATCTCAGCCCCCTGAGTAGCTAAGATTACAGGCATGGGCCACTGGCACCCAGCCTTCTGTTGATACCTATCTAGAGAATCCTGACTCATTTCACTGCTTCAAAGAATTCCAGCTGCTGGAACTGCTCACTAAGGCAGTGGGGTCTGTCACATATCAGGCTAGGGAGGTCAATAAGCAGACAGCATTAGAAATCTCAAAGGAGAAGATCAGGATGAACTAGGAAGGAATTCTCTCTGCAAATGGAATTCCAAATAAGGCCTCAAGAAAAAGGTGGGAGGCTGGGAAGGTGGCTCAGTGATAGAGTGTTTGTCTTGAATGCATAAGGCCCTGGGTTCAATTCCTCAGCACCATATAAGCAGAAAAGGCCAGAAGTGGCACTGTGGCTCAAATGGAAGAGCACTAGCCTTGAGCTGAAGCACTGAGAGACAGTGCCCAGGCCCAGAGTTCAGGCCCCATGACTGACAAAAGAAAAGGAAAGAAAAGAAAGAGGTGGGAGATTGGCATGGGAGAACCAACGAAGGTTGAAGGTGGATGGAATGAAAGGGAGAGATTGAAAATTTGTTTTGGAGATAAAATTGTTTGGGCTGTACGAAGAAAGAATAGGATGACCTCAAAGTCACCTTTAGTGAGTTGTTGTTATTATTATTATTACTACTACTACTACTACTATTACTATCATTATTTTGTAGGTTGTAGAGCTTAAATTCATGCCTGGGCATTGTCACTAAGCTCTTTTATGCTCAAGGCCAGCGGTCTACCATTTGGGGCCACAGCTCCACTTCTGGTTTTCTGGTGGTTAATTAGAGATAAGAGTCTCATAGGCTTTCCTGCCCAAGCTGGCTTTGATCCATGATCCTCAGATCTCAGCCTCCTAAGTAGCTAGGATTATAGGCGTGAGCCACCAGCACACACCTTCTCCTGATTCTTTTTTGTTGTTGTTGTTGGTGGTGGTCATGGGGCTTGAACTCTGAGCCTGGGCATTATAGACATGAACCTATGGTTTTCTGAGTAGCTAGGGTTACAGGCATGCCCCATCAACTCCCGGTTACTTTCAGTGAATTACAAAGATTTAAAAGATCACCTTGAGAGAAGACTGTAATCCTAGCTGTTGGAGAAGCAAATAGCAGGAGAATTCAGCTCAAGGCCAACTTTTTGCCCAGGCAAAAAAAAAAAAAAAAAAAAGCACAGGAGGCTGGGAATGTGGCTTAGTGGTAGAGTGCTTGCCTAGCATCACATTAAGCCTGGATTTGATTCCTCAGTACCACATAAAAAAGCCAGAAGTGGTGCATGCTCAAGTGGTAGAGTGGCTAGCTTTGAACACAGAGAGGCTCAGGGACAGAGCCAGGCCTTGAGTTTAAGCCCAGGACCAAAACACACACACACACACACACACACACACACACACACACACACACACGAGTATATGAGACTGCATCTTGACCAATGGTTGGGCACAGTATCCCTAGTGTAGAGGGCAGCACAAGTAGGAGAATCCCAGCCCACCACAGGCTGGGGCATAAAGTATAACTCAAATATATCCAATGGAAAAAGGGGACTAGAACCCTAGTTTCAGTGACAGAGTATCTGCCATGATTTCAAACCCCAATACTGAATTAAAAGAAAATAAAAGATTGCTTGGCCTTAGAACTGGTGATAGGGACCCAATGAGGGAGGCCACAGATGCTCTTAAAATATGGACTATGAATCCCACCTTAGCCTCCAAATCTGCCTCTCCCCACGGCCATGTGAGCACCAGGGTCCCAGGTGCCTCCCAGACCCAGATAAGTCACCTCCCCACACTGCTGCTGGTAGGGCGTCCACACTACAGAAGACAGCGTGGAACTGTCCCATGAGCACAGTGTGAGACCACAGTGGGGGCCTCCTACAACTCATCCATTCCCAATTGAGTAGATGACTTGCACAAGGCCAAAATGCACCTCTGAGGGTGGCTGCCAGGCTGCCAGGCCCCTCCCTGGAGGCCCCCTCCCTGGAAGGCCCTGCACCTTCTCTGGTGACTACCTTCTCATCAGGGACCAATACAGCCCAAAGGCTCAGTGCCTCAGTTTCCCCAATGGAAAGATCAACATGTTCCATCCAAAAATGTTGGCAAACAGAACAAAGCAATTGGGGCTTGGAGCCCAGCATGGTTCCAGGGGTCCCTGGACCATCTGACTGTAGGAAGAGGGAAGAGAAAGAAAGCACATGGGGAGAGAAAACAGGGACAGCCTGGCCAGCATGGGGAGCAGTATGAAAGAGGCAGCAAGGATTAAGGGGAAGTTGAGGAAAAAGGGAAGTTACCCTCTGCACACAGTGATGGCCGCATGATACTTTCTCACACATAATCCCATCTTCCCTGTCCCCTCATTAAGCTGACACCAGGCTCCTCCTGGGCACAGGTGGGCACAGACTCCCACAGAGCCAGCCTGTGCATCACCAAACCTCCACCCTACTCTTCTCATTTGTGTCAGAGTGTGCCATGGACTAGGAAATGTGTGACTCATTGCTGCTCTGAGTCTTTACCCCCTGCCCAAGCGAGGATCTGGGACCCTCCTAGGGTCCCCATTGCTGGAACATTGGTATTCTAACCTTGGCATCCAGAGACTGTGCCATGCAGCCAGGCCAGAGCCTCAACTCAGCAGAAGACTAAAGTGGATCCCGCAGTCCAGAACCAAACCCACCCTGTGACACTTACAAGGTCTGGCAGGAGGGCACAAAGTTACCTCAGGGCAGTGTGACACCCAAAGTCACTGAGTGAGTCATCTCAGCACCAAGGAAGGTGGCAGCCAGTCACCAAGGAAGCAGCCTGCACACCTGGAAACTGCAGGGTCCTGATCCAGCCTGGAGGGGAAGACAAGGAAAAAACACACACCAGTGGGCCTTGGTGTTCCAGTGGGTCCCAGGACCATAATCTTCATCCTTTCTAAGACCTGGCTCTAGGAGCAGAGCTGAGACTCGTGCTCACCTCTCTCTGAAGGAGCCAGCCCTGGCCCGGGGCAGCCCCTTCCCCTGGGAGGAGAGACTGGGGGACAAGAGTCAAGGACAGAGACACCCAGAGATGGGGAGGCAGGGGAAGGGGGAAGAAGGGTGAGGAGAAGGATGAGAAAGGGAAGTGGAGACTGCACAGGCCATGGCGAAGGATCAGACAAGGCAGGTGGTCAAGTTGGGACAGGTGAGGCCAAGGGCAAGGTGAGTCTCTCAGCACCAAATGGGAGGTGGAGGCTGGAGGACTGTTTTCTCAGTGACCACAAAAGAGGTCCTTCTGCCCTTTAAGAAAAGGAGAAGTCACATGGTAAAGGAAGTTGTGGGCCACAAGGAGGTGGGGATGGGAAAGTGAACATCCTCCCTCAGCCTTGGGGAGAAGCAGTCTGACCCAGAATCGCCATGTGGCACTCACCCCACTTGTGCAAGCCCCCAGGGCTCTGTCAGGGCCTCCTCTCCGGCTGTGGCACTCAGCAGGCCTCCTCCCCCAGAGGAGACCAGCTATGGGGTGGGTCCTGGTGGCACTGCTGCTACTGCCTGCAGGAGTCCTGACAGCTGGTGAGTGGCCACAACCATCAAGCCACAGGGAGCCTGGGGGCTGGGCATGTGCAGAGGGCTGTGCGGGAGGAGGTGGCCAGGACCAACCCTTCACCCACTTTCCTCTCCCAAGCCTGGAGAGGGTCAGCCCTGCCATCTGTCCCACCAGACCCTGGGAATGCAGGTGCAAGGAATATCTAGGGTTAGCGTCTACCTCCCCTCTGGCAGGGCTTCACATTCCTTCCTCTTCCTCAGAGGCAGAAACTATGGGATGACCCAGCCTGAACAAATCTCTGCCACCCTGGGAGTCTCTGTTGAAATCCCCTTCAACTTCTTCTACCCTTGGGAGTTGGCCTCAGATCCTGAGGTGAATCTGTTTTGGAGATGGAAGTTATTCCACGGGGAGTTCATCTACAACATGACCCCACCTTTCATCCATGAGCATTTCAAGGACCAGCTGGTCCTGAACATCGCAAAGGACAAGAACTCAGGCTTCCTTTCTATTTCCAACCTGCAGAAGGAGGACGACACCACATAATACTGCCACATCCAATTAAAGACAAAGAATGAGGGCAAGCAGTTGTGGTGATCCATCCGTGGGACCAAACTCACCATCACTGAAGGTGAGCCCCCTCCTCCCCACACCTAGCTCCACACCCCCTCAGTCCTCACACTTCAAATCTTCTCACTTTCCTCTCCCTGACTTCTGACTCCTTCCCAGGACCCTGTCAGTGTCACTCTTTGTTTCCTCTTGACAATAACCATCCCCTTTGCCTTCCAGTGGCCCCTAAGGTTCACCCCAATCCCATGCCTTAGGTCTCAGCTCTGCCACAAAAGTCCACGCTCTAAAGTATCACCAGCACTCCAGCCCTGCCTGCTCCCTGACTTGCAGTTTAAGTTGACTTCCCTAAGATTCATACTGCCTTCATTTTGTGTTACCTGCATCAACTCTTGCTCTTCCCATAGGCCTGAGCTCATCCCAGAATGCACAAAAAAATGTCTGATGGATGGTCTCCTTGGTCTCTAGGCCTGCTGTAACCTCACACCATCTCCTGTGCCCCTACCCTCAATCTTCCCCCTCTCTTCCCCAGAGCACCTCTTTTACCTTTCCCTGCCCCAGGGGCTCCTCTCCCCTCCCTTCTTCTCTTCTACTTTTCTTCTCCTTCTTCTCACCAGGCCCCCTCTCCCAAACAAGCCCACATGTCCTTCTAGTCACTGTGTTTCTTATCTGCCATGATGCACTCCTGTGCAGCACCTGCCCACTTTTAGGAAGAAACCCACTGGCCTAGCACCATGCATGTATTAATTACCCTTGCTCTCTTACAGCCCCACACTACAATAGCAGTAGGCATGCTCATTTTGTACAGATAGAAACATTATGACCAGAAGAGAGTCTCATATCGCCAATTAATCAGTGAGAACTACAAGTGGGGGTATTGTTCAAGCAAAAAAGGCAAGTAAGAGCACAAGTGCAAACATACACACACATACATCACACACACACATCACACACACACACACATCACACACACACACACACACACATCACACACACACACACACATCACACACACACACACACACATCACACACACACATCACACACACACACACACATCACACACATCACACACACACACACACACACATCACACACACACACACACATCACACACACACACACACACATCACACACACACACACATCACACACACATCACACACACACACACACATCACACACACACATCACACACACACACACACATCACACACACATCACACACACACATCACACACACACACACACATCACACACACATCACACACACACATCACACACACACACACACATCACACACACACACACACACACACACACACACACACACACACAGGCAAGCATTTAGCTAGTTTAGTGATAGCTGCTCATGCTTCTCAGGCTTGCTATCCAGGAGGCTGAGATCTGAGGATTGAAGTTCAAAGCAGCCAGGACAGGGAAGTCCATGAGACCCTTATCTCCAATTAATACCAAAAAGAACTATCACTCAAGTGATAGAGCTTCAGCTTTGAGCAAAAGAAAAAGCTCTTAGACAGCACCCAGTCCCTGAGTTCAAGCTTCAGGACCTGAGCAAAAGAAAAAAAAAAAACAAATAAAAGAAACAAAAAAAGAAAAGAAATAAAAGCATTTAGTACTATGAATTTAGAATACTCCTTTAGTCATATTCCAAAGTTAAAAAATAAAACAGTATTGCTCTGGTTTTATATTTTTGTTATGAGATAGATAGATAGACAGATAGATAGATAGATAGATAGATAGATAGATAGATAGATAGATAGATAGATAGATAGATGATGGGTAGATAATTCTGGTCCTAGGGCTTGAATTCAGGGCATGAGTGCTGTCCCTGAGCTTTTTTGCTCAAGGCTAATGCTCTACTACTTGAGACACAGTGCCACTTCTGGCCTTTTCTGAGTAGCTTATTAGAGATAAGAGTATCACAAACTTTCCTGTCTGGGCTGCTTAAACTATGGCCCTCAGACCTCAGCTTCCTGGGTAGTTAGGATTATAGACATGAGCCACCAGCACTCAGCTTTTTTAAAAAATAATTTCTAATAAGCATTATTAGTTTGTTCCATTTAGGAATTGGACAGTAAGTAATGGCTGCACAGCAACATGAATGTATGTAGTGCCACTGAAACTCACAATTGCAGGTGGTTAAAATGGTATGTTTTATGTTACATAGATTTATGACAAAAAAAAATAATGTTCTATTCTTTTTTTTTTTTTTTTTTTTTTGTCGGTTGTGGGGCTTGAACTCTGGGCTTGGGCGCTGTCCCTCAGCTCTTCAGCTCAAGGCAAGCACTCTACCACTTGAGCCACAGCACCACTTCCAGTTTTTTAGTGGTTTATTACAGATAAGAGTCTCATGGACTTTCCTGCCCCAGCTGGCTTTGAACCTTGATCCTCAGATCTCGGCCTCCTGAGTAGCTAGGATTACAGGCGTGAGCCACTGGCGCCCAGCTTTAATGTTCTATTCTTGTGATTTATTTCTGAGTAGTGAAGCGACTTCTTATTCACTATTGAAAAATGGTACAGAGTCAGGATTTAAACTTGGTTGTTTGGAATCCTTTTGTGTTTGTTTGTTTGGAGGTACTGGAGTTTGAACTCAAGGCCTGGCGCTTGCTAGGCAGCTGCTCTAACACTTGCATCCCTCTACCCAGCCCTGCTATCTGGAGTCTAAGCCTCCCTCTCTTCCTCTCTGAGTGGATCTCTGAGAACTGCTCCCCTCTCCATATTCCTCTGAACAAGATGAGATCTGACCTGTCATTCTCATATTCCCATTCTTCCAGGAGAATCTGCTGACTTCTGATCTTTCCCCAGCCATCAAGACCACCACCCAGATGAAGACCACCACTGAGAGAAGCACCAGTGTAGCCTCTGAAGTTACCTCAGCCAGTTTCACAGTTTCAAAGTCTCAACTCCTGAGTCTGGGAGCCATTGTTGGGGTGGCAGTGGCCACTGTTATACTCATAACCAGGGTGCTAGTACTGATAGCCTTCCTCAGGTGGAGAAAGAAAAGTAAGTGGCCCAGGGTTGGCCTTCCATTGTATTCCCAAATGAGTGTTTTAGAACTCACTTGCATTGTAAACACTTAAGATGCTTATTAAAAATGCAGATATCTGACCTGCACCAGTAGCTCATGCCTATCAGCCCAGCTATTCAGAAGGCTGAGATCTCAGAATCAATGTTCCAGGCAGCCCAGGCAGGAAATTCAATAAGACACTCATCATCAATTAACCACCCAAAAAAGCCAGATGTGGAGCTGTTGTTCAAGTGGTAGTGCAGTAGCCTTAAGAAAAAGAAGCTCAGGGACAGTACCTATGCCCTGAGTTCAAGCCCCACAATTAGCACCAAAAAAGAAAAAAAGCAGACACCTGCTGAGTGTCCTTCAAACCCCAAATCAGGCTATAAGGCCTGTGCTTAGAAATACTGTTTTGAGCCGGGCACCGGTGACTCACACCTGTAATCCTAGCTACTCGGGAGGCTAAGAACTGAGGATCATGGTTGAATGCCAGCCCAGGCAGTAAAGTCCATGACACTCTTATATCCAATAAACCACCAGAAAACCAGAAGTGGCACTATGGCTCAAGTGAAGAGCACAGTGACAGTGCCCAAAGCCCAGAGTTCAAGCCCCATGACCAACAACAACAACAACAACAAAAATACACACACACACACACACACACACACACATACACACAGTTTGTTTTGTTTTGTTTGAGGTAGGATCTCACAATATAGGCCAGGCTGGCCTTGAACCATTGGTGCCACTGAAGAGTCTACATTTTCTTTAAGCACCCTCAAATGGGGTTTGTGCAAACCAGCAATAGCACATGATGGCATCATTTGTCAGGTCTTCTCTCATGACTTAGTCTTCAGCTTTTGCTTGGTGGAGAAGAGACAGCCTGCCCTGGAAAAGGTAAGAACAGAGCAGAAGGGACAGGAAGTTGTCTCAGTTTCAGCAAGGACTGAACCAGTGCACACATTGCAGAGCCTGGCTTGAATTGGGCAAATCAAAACCCAAGAATAGTGCCTGGTTTTCCAGGAACTTAGCGCTCAGAGGTCTTGGTAATTGGTGATCATTGTTTATGGAAGAACTGTGGTAGTACTAAAACAATGTCAGTGGAAAGAAAGGGAGCCAGAGGGGACTGCTTAGCAGAAGACAAAACCTCTCAAAGAACAAGCTGGGCAAGAGCTGGGGGTAAGGAGGAAATACTGCCTGGTCCTCAAAGAGAGGAAAATATTCCAATAACTGTCGGTTAGTTCATGGCTGGTAGAGGAGATGGGAGATGAGAAGAGGGTCTTGTACATCAAAGCCAACAACATCAGATCCCAGAGGCACAGTGAGCAGTCACATGACCACCTCAGCTTCCTGCAGTGAAGACATCAGTGTGTAAAGGCAGCCAGGACGCAGCAGCGCAAAGGATGGAGGGAAATGGCTAGGACCAGGAAGTATACTTAGATGGTTTATAACAAAGGATCCATCCAAAGAGAAAAATCAAGATTGTCATTCCATCTATAATAGCAACAGTCAATAAAATAGAAACACTTAGAAAAAAGCTAAACCAAGAAGGTGAAGGATTCATACACTAACACCAAAGCACAAGACAATATTGAAAGAAATTAAAGACAACACAAACAAATGGAAAGATTTCATATTCTTGGACTAGACGAATAAGACAAGATAAAACAATAAAACAATCTATGGATTTAATGCAACCCCAATGGAATGGAATTTGGTCTGAAATGGAATTTGGTCATGGGGCTTGAACTCAGGTCATGGACACTATCTCAACATTTTTTGCTCAATTAATTTTCCTTTCAAAAATGAATAATTCATCTCCTGAAATTGAGAGCCAAGAGTAGAAGTATGGCACTGCCTGGTTTCATAAAAATTTCTCAGAGCTACAGTGAACAAAACAGCACAGTACTTGCACAAAGACAGACAAATGGATGGCTAGAACACAGCACAGCCCTAAAGTAAATTCTCAAGTATTGCCAAATAAATGGTCTTCAAGAAGAGTGCAAGTTGGGCATTATGGCTCACACCTATAACCTAGCTATTCAGGATGATGAGATCCGTGGATGGAGGTTCAAAGCCAGCCTGGGCAGGAAAGTCCATAAGACTCTTATTTCCAATTGACCATCGAAAAGCCAAAAGTGGAGCTGAAGCTCAAAGTGGTAGAGCACTCACTTTGAGCAAAAGAATTCAGGAACAGCGCTCAGGCCTCAAATTCAAGCCCCAAGGCTGGCAAAAACAAAGAAACAAAAAAAGAAGGAAGGGTGCCAAGATCAGCCCAGTAAGGAAACAGCTGGTACAGAATGAAACCCAAAGAAGATTTTTGGTGAGGGTAAGGAAAAAGTGGGAAAAGTGCAGAGGAAGAAAAATGAGGAAAGTGGGATAAGGATAAGAAGGGAGGTCAAGAAGGGGAGAAAGAAGCTCACACCTGTAATCCTAGCTACTCAGGAGGCTGAGATCTGAGGATCATGGTTCAAAGCCAGTCCTGGCAGGAATGTCTGTGAGACTCTTATCTCCAATAAACCACTCAGAAAACAAGAAGTGGCGCTGTGTCTCACATGGTAAAGCACTAGTCTTGAGCTGAAATGTTGAGGGTCAAGGACCAAGCCCAGAGTTCAAGCCCCATGACTGACAACAAAAAAGGGGGGGAGAAAAGAGACAGAGAGGAAGAGAGGAAGGTGTCAGGCACTGGTGGCTCATGCCTGTAATCCTAGCTACTTAGCAGGCTGAGCTCTGAGGATTCCAGTTGGAAGCCAACGTGGGCAGGAAAGTCCCAAAGACTTTTTTTTAAAAAATTTATTGTCACAGTGATGCACAGAGGGGTTAGAGTTACATAAGTAAGGTAGTGAGTACATTTCTTGTCTAACTTATCCTCCCCTCATTTTTCTTCCTCTTCCCCTCACCCCCAAGTTGTACAGATCATTTCCAACATATTGTCTTGTGGGTATCACTACTGCATAGGTTCCCACATTGTCCTTTGTCTCCCATTTTGTTGTTCCCCTTCCCTTCCCTAGTTCAGATAAACGTATATACATTACCCAGGGTACCAAAATCAAATACAGTGACAACAGGAAATAAACCACGGGGGGGGGGGGACATAAAAAAAAAAAGAAATCATGTAGAACATTGAGAACAATAACAACAAAGAAAAACCTCTTGTGTCCATGTCTTGGAGTTCATTTTGCTTAGCATCATCTTATATGGTCATATGTTCATAGCTATTAAGCTATTCTGCTCCTCTGCTAAGATTATCCTAGATGTATACTAATTATTACAAATAAGGAAAATCATTGGACCTATGTTTCTTTGGGTCTGGCTTACTTCACTTAATATGATTTTTTTCAAGTCTTTCCATTTCCTTTCAAATGGGGCGGTGTCATTTTTTCTGAAGCCAAATCCTAAGACCTTATCCCCAGTTTTCCACCAGAAAACTGGAAGTGGAGCTATGCCTCCAAGTGATATAGTGCTAGCCTTGAGCAAACAGCTTGGGGACAATGTCCAGACCTTGAGTTCAAACCCCAAGATCAACAAAAAAAAAAGAGGGGTGGGTACATAGGGATGAAGGGATAATGGCCCCAGAAGGGCTTGTCTTAGGACTTGCAGTAGAGGACAAGAGGACAAGTATGGCTGGCCTCAGCTTACTGCCCTGACTGGTTGGGACAGATCGTCTCCACATCTCCGTTTCCCTCAAGGTTGGTCTGAACATAAGACACAGTTAAGGAGACAGAGAACCACAAGGAAGAAGTCATACTGATACCATGTTGCTTCTTCAACAGGCCAGACAACCACAGCCCAAACCCCAGCAGGGTGAGTATTTGTCCTCCTAAGAAGGCAGGGTGAGTGAGGAAGAGGTGCTATTTGGGAGGTTTCTTTACAAGTTTCCCTATAAGAACAAGTAGGAAAATATCACAGTAAAACCTATTGCATTATACAAGTAACATGCACTAATAAATAAGACAGATATTTTATCTAAACACCCATGGCTCCTGACCAATAATCCTAACTATTCAGGAGTCTGAGATCTGAGGATCCTGGTTTGAAGAGAGGCCGGTTGGAAAGTTCATGACACTCTTTGTGCCAATTAACCACCCAAAAAAATGGAAGTGGAACTGTAGTTCAAATGGTAGAACAATTCCCTTGAAAAAAAAGGCTCAGGGACAGTGGCTAGGCCCTGAGTTCAAGCCACAGGACACACAGACAGACAGACACAGACACACAGACACACAGACACACACACACACACACACACACACACACACACACATACACACACACATTTTATTGAATATTTTAGCTAAAAGGATTTATTGTATGTAAAAGTTATATTGGCTTATTGTTTTTGGTGGCATTGCCTTTTTTGCTTTATTTATTTTTTAGTTATTTTTTGGCCTAGGGCTGTCCTCAAATCAAGATCCTCCTAGCTCTGTCTCACACATAGCTGGGATTATAGGCATAGAACACCACACTCTTCTGGTTTGTTAAGTTCTTATTAATTTTTGCCCAGCCTGACCTTGAACTTCTCTCCTCCTGATCTTTCTCTCCCAGGCAACTAAAATTATAGGCATGTGCTACCAGGCTTTGCTTAATTACTTTCTTATTTTTTAAATACATGAACAAGCCAGGTGCTGGTGGCTCATGCTTGTAATCCTAGCTACTCAGGAGGCTGAGATCTGAGGATCAAAGCCAGCCTGGGCAGAAAAGTCCATGAACTCTTACCTTCAATTAATCAACAAAAAGGAAAAGGTAGAAACAGAGCTGGGGCTCAAGTGGTGAAACACTAACCTGGTGTTGACAAAGCTCAGACACAGAGCCCAAGCCATGAGTTCAAGCCCAATACCTGGGCAGGAAAAAAAATTATAAACATATGTGGGGGGGTGAGGGGGGGGTGAACCATTGATCAAGATAAGATACTTGGAGGGCTGGGAAGGTGGCTCAGTGGTAGAGCACTTGCCTTGCATGCCTGAGGCCCTGGGTTCGATTCCTCAGCACCACATAAGCAAAAAGAAAAAAGCCAGAAGTGGCGCTGTGGCTCAAGTGGTAGAGCACTAGCCTTGAGCTGAAGAGCTGAGGGACAGCGTCCAAGCTCAGAGTTCAGGCCCCACG